CAGTTTAAGAGCAGCATTCAGGTTCCAAGAGGGAAGCCAGGCTTTTATTATTCACACTATAGTCACCTATTGTTTTGCTTCTTGTTTTTCTCAAGATATGTAGACATAGTCTGGTGGGCAGGAAAGTAAAAGACTGGGAGTGCCAGCTCTAAGCAGCCGCAGCACACCCAGGTACTTTGCAAACTTCCTTCTCACAGCTCTGTTCCTGCTATTTCACAACAAAGCCATGGCTCCTGGCCTGCACATTTGGTCCTGAATAGCAGAACCAAAGCACCTCCAGCCTGGCCTGCACACGTTTGGCAAATTTCAGTGTGTATTCCCGCACAATGCTGCCAAATCATCTCAAGTTCAGTCAAGAGCAGAGAGGCTGGGATGTGTTTTAAAATGCAACTGCAAATAGAGCTTAATTATACAATGTTCTGTAATGATTTTATGATAGCAGCTGAAGGCTGGCACGATCTTTTTGACTTTCAGCTGGGATCTCGGACATAAGTGAATATGTAAGTCATTAAATGACTCTTCACAGGTTCAAAAGGATACTATTAATGAAATCAGAATACTTAATATCTGTTAGTTGAATAAACCCCAACAATTCTGATTCTCTGGTCTGTTAAGCTATGTGAAAGCATAAAATGGCCTTAGAGCAGTCAGCCACCCAGTAGAGAATTCCTCCTGCTTAGCATTTCATTGATGAGAACAACCGGCTGCCAATTCCCTCCCTTGTAGGTATGTATAAGAAAACAATTTGAAATAAATCTCAGTGTTCTCTATCTTCTGCTGAATTAATTCTTCAGGGTAGTCCTGTTACAAATGAGAGCTTGGAACCTCAGGGCCAAATATCTGCAACTAGCTTCTCCCCGTGCCCTAACCTCTTCTGCTAAACGCTGTCAGAGAGAGTGGAGAAACACTTTTTGCAGTATTAAAAAAGTTCAAATCATTTGTGTTAGTACAGAACTCATGCCAGGTCCACCCAGACCCAGAAGCTGATTTTATGCTATCATAGAAATCTTGGGACCCCCTTCTTCACTGGTATAATCATCACAGAATCTTAGAATACCAGTGAAGGAGGGACCACACTGATCATCTGGCCCAACCTTTCTAGACAAGCATGACCTAGACTAGATGTCCCAGCACTTTGTCCAGTTGAATTTTTGAAGTATCCAACACTGGGGAATCCACCACTTCCCTGAGGAGATTGTTCCAGTGCGTGCTTGTTCTCATTGTGAAAAATTTTCCTCATGTCAAGTCAGAATCTCCCCAAGAATAACTTGAGCCCATTACCCCTTGTCTTTTCCATGTGACTAAAAAGGGAGTCTCTGTCTTCTTTGTAGCCACCCTTTAAATACTGGAACATGGTGATAAGATCTCCCCTGAGCCTTCTTTTCTCTAGGCTGAAAAACCCGTTCTCTTAGCCTTAAATCCACAGGGAGGAATTTGGGCTGCAGGATGGATTCTGTTTTACAGAATCTGATCACTGTCTGGATTCATGTGCCAAAAATTCCTTTCATAGCACTCAGGGTGACACCTTTCTTCCAGGTTCCAGTCTGCCCAGAGCAGATTGTTTGCACAGAGTGAAAACGTGTGCACTGAGTTTCCCATGCTAAATAAAGGTAGTCTAATGGTAAATAATAAACCCACATGATGGTGGAGGTGAGGGTCATCTGGTGTTTACATAGGGAACAGAGATAGAGGAAGAAAGTTCCGGTTTGCTTTTTAGAAGCATTCTAGATTGGTATCTCCAGCTTTCTGAATATAACCTGCAGTCAGAGCTCCTCCACAGCCTCACCAGGTCCAGGCCCCTGACTGTGCTTTGCCTCTTCCTATGTGATAGATTTTTATGTGGGAATTTGCTCAAAAGGTGAAGTGATTCATGAAAACTGCTTGGTGCAACAACATGTGAAAATCTGTTTCTCCTTTTTGCTGTAAGTTGTGATCCACTGGCACAGGTTTCCCAGAGAAGCTGTAGGTGCCCCATCCCTGGCAGTATTCAAGGCCAGGTTGGACAGGGCTTGGAAAAATCTGGTCTAGTGCAAGGTGTCCCTGCTCAAGGCAGGGGGGTTAGAATTGAATGATCTTCAGGGTCCCTTGCAACCCAAACCACTCTATGATTCTATGAAATAGGGCTCTTTGGGGCTGATAATGACCATCAGAGTCACAGTACTGTAAAAAAATGCCTTACCTCTGCAAGGATAAAAATACCATCCTTTTTTATGCATCCACACCTTCTCTGTATTAGGAAAATTGCTGGCTGCTACTGATGTAGAGTAAAAATGGGTGTAGATAAGCCTCTGGTGAAAAAGGTTTCCATTCAACGGCAGACTGGGACAAGCAGTGATTGGCACTACTCAGAAACCAGGCACAGAAAGCTGCAAGGCTGCAGCAAAATCATGTCTGGTGATAGCACGTGCTATTGGCATCCTATGGCAATAGTGGGTATGCTTCGTAGCATGAAGAAGGTCTTGGCTGTGCCAAAGAAGGGCAGACCAGTTCTTTTCTGCCAGTCACTATCAATACTATAAATAGATGCTTTGGGAGTTTGTTTCTGGGAATATCTTGCAGTTAGAAGGTAGCATGTCAGTAAAGGCAGGGATTACAACTTGTAGCCATAGACTAAGGCCAGGTTATATTTTCAACAGTGGGAAGTTATTGCTGTCCTACTTATTCCTCTGCCTGTGCATGTTGATATGTAAGCTGTGGCCATGCATTTGTCATTGTGAAGTGAGCCACAACAGGGAATATTAAGGTTTTGGATGTTTTTTTGTCCAGCCAAACTATCCCTAAATCAGTTTGTTTCCTTTATTCAGCTAGTGCAACAGTTGTGTAAGGAGTTGCACTGCACCAAGGGTAGGGAGGTGCACTAAGAAGAAATGTGTCGATTTTGATCCAGAAAAAAGCCATATAGAAGAACAAATGTAAAAAGTCTTGATTTTCTGAGCTAGTCACATTTCATCCCCTCTATCATCAGTGCTAGTTGCAAAGGTAGATTTCTGGCTTTAAAAGATTAATAACATGCCAGTACTAATAGGCTGGAGATCCGTGGACATGTGTTGAATTCCCAGGACTTTTGCTGCCTCTTAGCAAAACCAGTGGGAGTTTTCAGGTATAGCAAGTATACCTAGGAATACTTGTAAGTAATTGTATGTATTATTCCATTTTTGGAGAACTATGAGCAAGAAAACAAATGCTCTTTAACAAAAGTAATCATTCTAAAATGTGTGAGAGTTCACTTTGTACTCTCTTCTTTCTACCTTTTTGTATCATTGCTGGTTTACAAAGGTACTGCTTATGGATGAGGGATGCTTTTAGCTTCCTGCATGCCAATATCTCTGTCAGGAATTTAAGTGACATGTTGATGGAGCACATTAAATTTTTATTCCTAGCTAAATAATAGTTAATCTAAAAGTGATATCTAATCTGTTGGTATTAGCTTGCTAATAAAGCGCCTGATAGATGAGTTGAACTGGAAATGTTTTACCTCTGTTTTTCTCTAAGTACAGGCCGCAGTCAGTGCCTGGGTAAGCTGACCCTGCAGTGTTTTGGCCAGTTCAGTCTTAACATGCCCAAAGCAACAGGTTTTTTTGCCTTTTCCTCTGCTTTCTGAGCTCTTCTGTGCGTACTGTCTGTGGGAAGTGTCTGCTCACACCTGGGGGAAATACAAAATGCCAAGTGCCTTTAATTGCTTCTGGAACAGTACAAAGAATTGTTTAGACTAGATTTACTTTTCTGATTTGTGCTTAGAGACAGAGCTGACCTCTGCCAGAACTACAAAGAGCACCCAGCTGAGGCTGTTAATATCTCTTAGGAAACAGTTCAGGAACGAGCCTAGCTCACTGCCCAGTGCTGTAGTGATTACAGTAAATCCTCATCTTCTGCAGACTTCAGCAGGGTGTTTGCAGTCAGCAGTTCTGATTCAAACCTTAGAGAGCAAAGAATGTAAAATACTTACCAAAACCCGCTCAGTTGTAACAGCTTTCATTTATAGTACCTCAAACCGATGCATTTTTCCTCAAAAACAGGACACGTGCTTGAGGGGAGCATGAGGAAGAAAAAGCTCTATGTCACCTTTAGTGAGAGCAACATCGTCTTCTTGTCTCTTGTCTTTGGCACTTTGATCTCACAAAGTCAGATCCCACCACCCAGCTCTGCTCAAGCCTCTGTACTTTCTTTAATAAGTGTCCTTATTTCCCCAATCCTTTTATCAGCCTAAGTATTGATACAATGATTTACATGACTGTTTCTAACATTGCCCTTGCACACTGCAGCATAGGCATTGCTACAGTTTCTGTTGTTGTTTAAGTCTCTATAGCTCTTAATGTCAATCTCTGCCTCATTTTGTTGGCATCCTCATCTCACTGTTCTGTGAATCCTGTATGTTGCCTTCTTTCTGCTCAGCTCTCAGGGTAGCAAAGGTACCTACTTCCCATCCTTTCTGTTGCTGATAGGTATGGCTCTAAAAAGAAATAAAATGCTTCTGTCACTCCTCGTTCTGCATTGAAAAAACATTCATTGTTTTAAATCGTGCACATTTATTCTAATACTGGTGAAGAGCATATGAGCATACTGCAAAATAGGTACTTCTGCAGCTTCTGTGGGTGAGTTTGGTCTTGCTCCAGTTCACATACATGTATATCACAAACGCTGATACATTACTTGGCAGAGTCTAGCCTAGAAACTATGTATTTAATACAGCAAGGAACAAGATCTCTCCTTTTCCCCTTAGGGACAGGCCTGTAGTACGTATGAGTAATAAAGCTGTCTAATTACATAGAAAGGCTGATTCTGAATCTATCTCAAAAGCAGCCTTACCTGTGCACAAGGCACATGACAGCACTAATTTAGACAGCAACAACTTGAAGTTTATAAATAAAAGGATATACAGGTCCCTACAAACCTTAGCTGATCTTGAAGCCAGATCAAAAATAGACGTTTGTTTTTGACTTCCTCCAAAACCGCCTGTTTCAGAAATATGTCCCTTTTTTTGGTCTGTTATTTGTAAATACAAGCATAGTAAAGACTGATGGCTAAAGCAGCCAGATCTGAGAACTCCCGGCTTCTTTTCAAAATGGTTGCTGCTCTGGTCTGTGCTTTGAAGGCAACGGGCTACTTTTCACCTGGCACTGCAGGCAGGACCCAGCTTCTCTTCTCAACTCACAGCCCTCAGATCTCTGCTATTTTTCACCAAGTTTAGGGACTTGGTGCCTGTGCACAGGTAATGCTTTCTGCTCAGTTTTTTTTTTCTCTTGGCAGCAAACCACTGCCTAGAAGCTGAAAGCTAGATTAATTTGAATACCAGGAAATACTTTGGCATTTGTGGATCTGACTATCTTTCTACTGTTTTGTCAGTGATAGTGTTTACTTTCATCTCAGTTATCCTTTAAATAGCCTCAGTGTGCCTGAGTTCAGCACCTCAGCTTTAATGAAAATAGGTTTTGTTTGTTATTTGAGATGTCCTTCAAAGTGATGAAGGTGGAGGCTCTGGGATTCTGGAATCTTAGATCTGAGAAACTGCCTGGAAACAAGAGTGACACTGAAGAGCTGATGAAATATTTATATCAAGTGAGGGGCAGAACAAAAACTGTGCAAGTGATGGAAGGGGAACTTGATTGTTCAACACCCTGCTTTTATAACTGTAGTGAGGAATATAGAGAAAGTGTTACACCATTTTCATTTTGAATCTACTGCATCTATAAAAGGTAGACTTACTTGGTGCTTGTTCTGTTTACAAGTAGGTGTAGGAGAACACATGGTAACCTACAATGCTTTGCAAAGAATTTGTAACACAGTCGTAACTGAGTTCAGTTACACTATGGAGTACCCTTGCAGATGCAAGTTGCCTTAGGGAAAAAGTTTTCCATGCTAACTAAGGAACATATTTAGGCCATTTCAGCCACATAAGGGAAATTAATGTACAGAAAAGGTCAGTGCCCTAATTGTTCTGTGCCAGAAATTCTTTGAGGTGGTATTTATACTGAACTATGCATTATCTGTACCCTGTTTATATATATATGTGCTAACTCTACACAGCATTTCTGCTTTTAGAAGCTCTTATAATAACATAAACCCCAGGGTTTCATTTATCCTTCTCCCAGCCTGATTGTTCTTTTTTCTTTATAATTCACTTCATTGCCTAGCACTGGCAAGTTAAGTTTTGTTCATTTTTTTGCTCTTTTTTGTTCCTTTCTTTCCCCCCTCCCCCTCCACGAATTATTGCAAGTCATTGTGCACTAAATATAGTTCTGCTTTCTGCTTTCCAGATGCTGAGAGCTTGGCTTACATCCTCACAGCATTCCTGCCTAATTCTCTCTCTCTCTGTCACACACATACAACTATTCAAAGCAAATTTGTTGAGTTCAGTGCATCAAGAAAATCTTGATAGTTCTCTTTGTGGAATGGAGAGTAAGTTTTAGTAAAACTTACTCATGTTAAATGTTTGCCAGCTTTATGCTCAACTACTGTACCTGTATTCATTGTTGCGAGGGCCCAATATGTGGTTGTTGCTGACTTAAATATTCTGTAAAAGCTTTTATCTCTGCACATGTCTCACTGTGTGTTTTGGCTATTTAGATCTCAGGTTTTACAGCCTGATTTAGCCAGGCAAATTTCACTTCTAGTCCCACTGGAGTACCCTGGAATGTTAGGCCAGTTTCAATGATGTTTCAGCTCAAAATGTGGAAGTTCCACAGCAAAAGCCAGTATAGTAGAAGAGTATATACATGTTTGAGCCACAGCTGAAGAGTCAGTTTGAACACGATTAGAAACTTACTACAGCCATCCAGATCAGCACTAATTTTCAGGAAAATTAACTTTCTGCTCTATTTCTTTTGTGAGCTGGTGCTGGTATCCCCATAAGAGCTGCCCACCAGGCAAGTGACTGTTCTGGTAAGGCTCAAGTAGTTCCTTTATAGGGTATGTAATATCCCTAGCTTATAAAGCAGTTTGGACTAGCAAAAGGCACAGAAAAATCTTCATTTATCAGCAATTAGTAGCGCCTCACACCAGTGCAGTATGTTTTTTATAGGAAGGATCCCAATTTAAGATCCATATTTATGCTGAAATTTGCGAGGACCAATGTATTTGGACCCTTTACCCACTATTGAAATGCAGCTGTGGTACAGCATGGCAGCTGTTTAGGGCAGGAAGCAAGGAAAATGTTGTGTTTAATCAAAATTGCAGTGGTAATTGATTGGCAGAACATATTTACCCTGAAGATGGGGCTGTACTGCCAAACACAGTGGGTAATCCTGATTGGGTCTTTGGCACATTATTTTAATACAAATTCAAAGAACTATTAGGTTTTAGACTTGGTTAATGCACCAGGATTAAATTTCTCTGCAATCTTTTGTAAACTGCTTCAAATCTGTGTTGGCCATGGCCTCTTCTCCCTCTGGACAGCACTGTTCCTCTTCAGAATATTGCCTGGGAGAAGATCAAGCCCTGTCCCACCACTAACCCCTTTCCTGCAGCATCTGCTCCTGAGAATTGCATCAGCCTAGCAGGCTGTGAGATGGGATGGAAAAAACAGAGGACTCTGGCTCTGTGCCATTACTTAATTTCCATAATGCTTACTTAAAGTCATAAACCTACAAAGCCTACAGAACATCAGCAAAGTTGTGAGGCCAGATAAAATCCAGTTCTGGGACAGATCTGTGCAATGCACAGAGTATTCTATGGGCTGTTGAGAAGCAGCTTCCCGGGAGGTTTCCAGCCCTTGAGATTCCAGAGGAACTATGGTCCCAGGCGCTGCTGCCAGAGCTGCCCCATAGTAGCTTGCACGTAAATGTTAGTATCAGCCTATGGCTTTCTGTGCATTCACTTCAAAAAAGGCTGCAGCAGCCCCCACCCAGAGTCTCTAGCAATACAAGGAGCATGTCATTCAAAACAGAAAATAGCTGTAGTTCAGCACGGGGCTAGCGGGAAAGGATCACGCAGGGCATGTTACAGAAGCTCTCCTGGCATCCTGCTCTCCTGAAGGCTGAGTAGGGAAGGGGCAGGGGTGGGTGAAGGCAGTGACCGTTCTTGGGGCCTAACAAGGGGCCACATTGTTCTTGGGCCTATCAGTTGGTTTCTGATTCACCCGCAGCCAATGTGCCATGATCAGATCACAGCTGGCCCAAGGATATGCTTTCCAGTGCATTTAGCGCTTGGAACAGCCCCAGGTTTCGGGAACACATGGTGAGGAGGAGGGGACAGCTGTGAGACAAGAGAAGGGAGCTGATTTTTGCCTTCTTTCACAATGAGCTTTTCTTTCATAATTTGAACATGTTAGCAGCATTCCAGGTAGTAAAATTAATTTGGAGCCTATCTAGATCTGGGTGAAGGGCAGACAGAGGGGAAGGAGGATGGAACAGGCAGTGGGTGCTTGCATGGCTGCATGCCCCCGCCAGCAGTGCCCTCTCTCGCTGGTCAGCTGTGCGTCTGCTCATGACAGATTATAGATGGATGCCGAGTACTCAGCCTGTGTCTTTGCTCAGCTCAGAGCTTTACAATAGCTTTGTTTGTTTCCAACCTGGGGGTTATGTAGTTGCTACATCCCAGGAGGGTGTCTTTGGCAGTAGCTGAGCTTCCTTGTATGTGAGCAGCAACTGGCTTCATGGCAAGGAAGGGGAAGGTCCCGAGTGCAACTGCGAACTGAGCTGGCTTTCAGTTCCGGGCAGACCTTCTCATTTATCTTTGCAGCACAGTACTTCTGAGTGATTCCTGACTTTTTTGTTCCAATTTCCTGTTAAACAATAGCACACCATTCCTCACCTCCTATCCTAAGCTTCCCTGTGTTTTGTAAATGGTTTTGCTGTTTCACATAGGGCTGGCTGCAATTCAGGGAGGAATGAAGTGGTCCCTGTCTGTTTGCAGGTCTTTAAAGCAAATCTGGAATCTCCTTGACATTCACATCCCATCAGGAATTTTCATCTCCCTTTTCCTCCAGAGCTGATTTGAGAAAGGCAGCTGTGAGTGGCATGCCCTGCCATCAGCTTCTCTGCTCCTCTGCAGACCATCAGTAATAAACTACAGCTTGTCAGGGAAATCTGCAGTTCCCTACCTACGGCCTATACTTTGTAGCCCTATAAAGTATTTTAATGCTAGAGAAAGTCACTCTGTTAATCAACAAAGGTAACAAGCCAAAGTTTTTCTCCTTCCCCTTACAGGGCCTCTATTCTATAAGGAGTCATAGAAGTTAAACATTGAAAAAGACCTGCAGTGTAATTGAGTCCATGTCCTAGTAGTGTGGGGGTGTTCTCTTATTACAGATTTTTATTGTTATGTCAGCCTGGTTTGAAACAATCTCTGCAGCATGATTTACGCATTCTCTTGAAATACTATGCTCAGTTTAACACATTCCAACATCTTGAGGGTTTTCCCGATACAGTTATCTAAATGCTTCCTCTAAAAATTGATCCAGTTTCTCTCAGTCAGAGCGTTCCTCTTCTACAACATGGTTCATTCTAGTGAAAAAAACAATTCCCTTTTCCTTTAAAGGGGCTAGTGGGACAGCCAGTCTGCTGTTTGGCCAGGCTGCAGTTGGATCTCATTTCTCAACCCCACCCTTCCCTTTCTCTGAGGAGGAGGAGGGGCAGTCTTCATATTTTCCCTTTAAGCTGAGCTATGAAAAATAGCTGTTTGCCAGAATCTTTCACCTTGGCCGTATACCCTCACAGATGTTTTCTACAGCATAAACAAAGCAGCAAAGAATGTTGGGGCACGGGGGAGGCACAGTAGTTGGGAACGGGAGAGATCAGGGTGGAGAATTACAGCTCCAGCCGCTCGACTGTAGTTTGCCTTTCAGAAATGCACAAGAGCTGCTCCCAGCTCTCTATTAGACTACAGTTGTATGAATGAGTCAGAGTATGGGTCTTGAGTACCACAACCTCATAATCAGAGTTTTTTGCTGGAGCAAGTGATTTTGTCACTTCATCCGTTCTGCTACATTTTAGACCAAATAAAATGTCCAAATGACTGTGAAGTAGGTTGCAACTGCTGATTTTGAAGGGAAATTACTTAAAGAAAGAAGGCAGGAACCATTGTTGTCAGGAACCTGACAACTGTCAAAGAAGGTGATGTTATTTCTAGGATAAGTATTTCTAGCTGTTGCTGCTGATTGAATGCAAGGCATAGCCGTGAGTCCAGTAAGATCCTGATGAGATTCTGACAACAGGAGATGGTGGCAGTGATGTGGTTGTTCACCTAAGCCTCTGTGTTGTTTCAGAATACTGCTTTGGGCCAGTGGAAAAGTTTTTACTGTAAACAAAGTCGGTTCTTGTTTAGGAGCCTTGAAAGGAAATTCGTAATGATCAGTGTAAACCACCTGGTGCAGATGAAAGGGATCAGGAATCTGAGCACTACTTAAACAATCTGAGGCTTGGGAGGGAAAATCAAAATATCGCCTATCGTCACATACAAATCACAAAGAACATATTGGTCATATTTGAGTATATCCCAGAGGATCAGTTTGTGAGCCCTCCTGCATATGCTGGTGGGTTGAGAGGCACCGAAACAAAGGGGACCATGGTTGGAAAGATTTGCATATTAAGGAAAAGAATGTGGAATGTATGTATTATGTGTGGCAAGAGTGTGGAACTAATGACTTATGACAGGGATACAACTATGGAATTAATGTGATTTGGCAGCCAGGCATTAATATGGAATGGACAATTTTGAATGAAGCAAAACAGGAGTGTATAAGACAGTAGCCGAAGCTAGTCCCTTGCATAGGAGCTGTATCAAGAGAAGGTTTCTTACACACATATATGCAAGACTGGACAGAGTTTATCCTAATGTCATTATTAGGAAGTAGATAAAGATCTTTATTTGTATTTGTAGGGTGTGAGAAGCTTTTACTCTGTTGAGTTGACATGAAGAATCCTTTTGAGCATAGGTCCTGCTGGTTTGTGTGGTTACGATTTAACTGCCATCATACTTTCATTGTTTATGGCTCTAATAAATGTAGGCTTCTCTATGGAGAATGTGAAGATTAATGTATTTATGGCTATCAAACATATGTTTGTGTATAGCTGAGCACAAGATCTACTACCCTAAATACTCTTAAAAATCCTTGACAGCTTAGGGCACGGTGAAGTTGGTTCATGTTTCATGGGGGTCCCAGGAAGCTTTGGTAGTCATGGTACTTGGTTTTTGTCAGCAAAAAGTTCCTGAAAAACAGTTCCCATTAAAAACAGCACAGCGTTTTCCAAAATTATCTCATTCTTTACATATTTTTCTGTGCCATGTAAGGTATCATGTTAAGATTCAGACTCACCAAAGCATTCTCAGCTGCTCAGTATTTATTCAAGCTAATAAACAAGAGTAAATAATCTCTGAAATGTTATTTGTAGTCATTTGGAAGTCCGTATCAGTACAGGTCACACTGCCGTATGCCGTGGTTAGGGCTCTGTTGAAGGAAAAGATTTTCTACAGCACATTGGTAGCTCCAAGTAATAAACTGTGGTCATTACTTTTGAGCTCCATTTGTTCACTGTGCCATATTCCTGACAGTTTCTAGAGAACATAATTTGTTCAGATACATGTTCACATCTTATCTTGCGTTTGCTAATTTGCTAATGGAGAAGTTCTCACCTGGGGCCAGCACTCTCCTGGCTCTCCCTGTGTCTAACTAGTGCACTAACATGCATGTCTCGGGTCCCATCATCTCTGCTTGATATCTCTGTGCTGAAAGAGGGGAACATACTGGGGTTATGAGAGTGATTAAAAGAATGGTAGACATGAGTGTGTTACAGCAGTGTGCAGGCTGGCTCCAAATGGGGGTGAGAAACAGATGTGCCAGGAATGAACCAACAAAGAGCTATGGATGAATGAAGTATGGCAGAACTGTGCAAAGGGGGTTTCTGTGGAAAGGATTTTGTCTGTTCTGTGCATACTTCTGCTATGTCTGTCAGCCTCAATAGAATTGTCCCCACTGAACTATCAGCTTTTGCATGACTCCAGCATGTTCCTGCAGCCAATCCAGTCTGAAATCTGTTTCTCTCTGTGGTGGTAAGAATGCAATCCTTCTGTGCCTTTTAGTGTAGGAAGCAGCTAAATATAATTGTCTTAAAACCAGGAAACAAAACGTTAAGTTATATGCCAGCCTGTAACTCAGCCATGAGCCTGCCCTCTAAGCAATGCCTCAGCATGCTGGTCACACACACTAATGCTATTGCTCTCACCACTGCTACAAAAGAGTGTCACAAGAGCTCTGCAGGAGACTAACACCTTTTCTTTGTTGAAGCCATGGTTGCATGAGGGGATAGAGCAGCATCAGCATTCCATAAATACTGCTACCTTATAAGCAGTATTTTGCAGTATCTCTGCCACTCAAGAGAAGGTGTTACCTATGTGTGGGAGTCCTCACTCACATGCTTAGTTTGCTAAGCATAAACCATTCCAACCATTCCAGGCTTGGTAGGTGTTACCAGCAATAGCCTCTCACCCTACAGAGCCCTTCCAAAACATGGCTTGTCAGCTCAACTCTGGGATCTGAGAGACACACAGCAACATAGAAATACTGTTGCTAGCACTTAACTGGTCAGCTGTGACTTCGTCTAGCCAAGTCGTGAAAACATCCAAGGATGGAGATTGCACAACCTCTCTAGGTAACCCATTCCAGTGTTGTACTACTTTCACAATGAAAAGCTTTTTCCTGATGTTCAATGCAAACCTTAATAGTGCTCTTGTGAGACCTCACTTGGAGTATTGTGTGCAGTTCTGGTGTCCTCAACATAAAAAGGACATGGAACTGTTGGAACAAGTCCAGAGGAGGCCATGAAGATATTCAGTGGTCTGGAGCACCTCCCATATGAAGACAGGCTGAAAAAGTTGGGGCTGTTCAGCCTGGAGAAGAGTAGACTGCGTGGAGACCTCATAGCAGCCTTCCAGTATTTGAAGGGGGCCTATAAGGATGCTGGAGAGGTACTCTTCACTAGAGACGGTACTGATAGGACAAGGGGTAACGGGTTAAAACTTAAACAGGGGAAGTTTAGATTGGATATAAGGAGGAAGTTCTTTACGGTAGGGGTGGTGAGGCACTGGAATGGGTTGCCCAGGGAAGTTGTGAATGCTCCATCCCTGGCAGTGCTCAAGACCAGGCTGGACAGAGCCTTGGGTGATATGGTTTAGTGTGAGGTGTCCCTGCCCATGGCAGGGGGGTTGGAACTAGATGATCTTAAGGTCCTTTCCAACCCTAACTATTCTATGATCCTACACACTTATACTGACGTATCTGAAAGACCCACAGGTGTAATGAGACATACCTGATACTCTGAAGTTCACGTCTGTCTCTCACCATCACAGCTCTGCCATGTTGCTTCTGTTGTTGCTTCTGCATTACAGCTACATGTCACATAGCAAACACAGCTGTGGAACAGGCAACTGAAAGCTGGATCTGAAAGCTGATGAGCACTATCCAGATAGTAGCTTGCTCACTTGGCCATTTTTTGCATCTACTGACTGTAGAGTCACATTATCCAAAAGACCCACTACAGAACCAAGGATGATCTGTATAACACTGACCACAGGCTCTTCTCCGGTCACACTGCCTTGAGCATAAGGCCTTATTCTTGGCTATAAAGGAATTCCCATGAAGCTGTGCTTTGAAGATTTCAAGAAATGGGGACTATGAGAGTACTTTGGCATTATGTTACTTTAATTTGGCAGCAGCCTTTCTGAGGAGCCGGAAGCAGTGTTGGGATGGGACAGAACTCATAGTGCTTGTGGCTGCTGTGAACCTTAGCTTGTAATTTTATGGTTTTGGGGGAAAGGTGTTAAACTCCAGTTGCTCCTCACAGTACAGAGTAGCGCAAACCACCACTGTGCAGCCCTAGGGGTATACTACTAACTGTTTGCAGTATCTAATACAAAACCCAGCAATGAATGAGTCTTTTTCATTCCTGTGATTGCATGTGCAGACATTGATTGAAGTTACCCTGGTGCTGTCTTTTTGTGTGCAGGAAGCTGTGCTGAAACTTCAAAATTATTTCTCTTACAGCTGTAGTTTCTTACTAGAAAGAAAGATTGTCTTGAGGGGTGATAATAGCAACTGGAAGTGGTTTTGTCTTCTTGTCACCTGTCCCACTCCACTGTTAGACACTATAAACTGTCATCATAAAATCTATGACGAATGAATAAGTTGCTTTTCTACTTCATAAATAATGAGTCTTTCCCACTTTTAAGTTTCTACCAGAAAGTTTTCCCTTTCTGGACTCTTAGAAATAAATTCACTTCCCTTGACATCCAGAACTTATTTCTGAAGAAACAACTTAAGAAATGTTTTAAAGATGATCCCTGGTTGAATCACCAGTAAGTACCACTTCCTGCTTCACCCTCCCCCCTCACTGGAGTTCTCTCAGTCACATACCTGACCTGAACCTGATTAGTTTGTGAGAGCTGGAAAGTTTGCCGCCCGTGGTGTGGCTGTGGGCCAGGCAGGCAGAGTTCTCTGTGCCTGGTACTGTAGTTGTGAAATCTTGCTTGACGGACAGGAGATTATTCTGCTGTTTGGTTTTGGTTGTGTTTTTTTTTTTTTTTTCAGCAAATGCCCTGTAAATGTGCAGGAGCAGATTTTGGAGCTCAGAGAGCTGACTCTTCAGAGACCATGGTGCCAGAAAGATTCCCATGTCCGTCGCATTGCTGAGAGCCAAAGAGAACCAAGAGCACTTTCAGTTCAAAGAATATTAAAAAAAAAAAACAAACCAAACTTCACACTTTTTTGTCCTGCTTTTACAAAAGTCCTCATTCTTATTTTTTGAGATCTGTTTACAACTCTTATTGCACAATGTATCCTTTATCAGGTCCTCAGCAGTAGTGTATGTATTGCTGCAGCAGCAGGACTTGTTACTATGCTTCTCTACCGAAATAAGGGGCTGGTTTTGAGCTCTTACAAAGAGCCCTGCTGAACAGTCCTATTGACTTCTTCAAAGCTGCTTGCATCTGTAAGATTTATGGCATTGAGTGCTGCTCCTTGTACAGGCCCAGGAATCAAGCATAGTGGGGAAGAATCCTCCTGCCATCACAGGCAATATGGAATGGGTCACCGGTCTTTCTCATGCCATTATAGTGTTCTTCACAGCAGAGGGACAAAATGCAGCCTGGTGGTGTGCGTCCCTGCATTTGTATCTTGCTTAACTGTATATTTTTCCTCCCCTCTACTGTTGTCCCTGTAGATTTTCCAGGGGATGTACTACTCAACAGTAAAAGTGTCCACTTATTTGCATGGATATTGTGGTGATGTAATCTTCTCTCCTTCCTGAATCATCAGCATTCTACATTTTTGTTGGGGCAATGCAGCACTTTGAAAAAGAGGGCCAGCAGGCATGTAAGAGCCAGGCATTGTGTGGACAGGCTCTATGCAGTATTCACAGTGTAATTCCACCAGTTCATCTCAGACCTAGGTAGTCTCACTCTTCTAGAAGTCTGGGGTTCTTCAGCTCTACTATTAATGCACACTGGTCCCAACTTGCAGTTTTTATTTCAGTCCTTGTGTTCTGTCAAGCTGGTTCCCAGTCCGCACTCTCTCCTGAATCTTCTGGAGCCTAGTCCTTGTTTCTAGTCCTAAAAGTCTGCCAGAATCTCCATGCAATTTATTCTGCAAGACTGTCAAATCTTTCATCAGTCAACCCCTTACCTGAGGCTCTAAAAATATCCATAAATACAGATTTCACAATGACTTGTACTGATTACTGGTCTGGAACTTCCGCTTTGGAAATTGAGTCTTTAAAGAACTGATGCTCAAAACAGCTTTCTGTAAGTCATCCCCATATGTTTTTTAACAAACATTGCCCGCAGGTAGTTGTAGGTAGAGCACAGATCCACATCCATTCCAGCCAACCTAAATCAGGGCTGCTATTGCCCAGCCATGCTCCTGTGTTTCCTCAACACAAACAGTAGTATCTGACTCTGAAATAGCATAGTTTAGGGAGCTAAACTGGCTGAAAATTAGGACTACAAAAAACGCCAGGGTTTTTACCCATGTCTGTTCTCAAAGTAAAAAGCACTAAAAGTGCATGAAGATTCTGTATAGTTATCAGATTATTGGATTTTTGGATAAGGAATCTCAAACACAACCAGAATTAGAAATTATGAGGTGCATGTATGCCATGGTTGAATTTTCAAGATTAAGAGTTCAATGCTGATCTGAGTCCTTAATCTAGCCTACTAGGAAAATTGAGATCCAGAAGAAATTAGCATAATCCCTAAGGAGCTAGTGGGAATTCTTTCCACTGCTGAGCTGAATGTAGTTTTAAAGGTTTTCTGGAGTTTGGGAATACTAACTAATAATTTTTGTTATATTTGGTTAATCACTGTTCTGCTTTCAGCATAAGAGAATGTGAATAACATTAAAACCACTATATCAGTTATTTTTATCCCATCGTCCATGGATCCATCAGGGTCCACTGACTTCTAAGCAGTCTGCTAAAGATAAATGAAAACAGCAAAAACACTGTCGGGAGACTTACATTAACAATGTAGTGATCAGGCACTCCTTTGGAAAATGGCCCCTGCTCCAGGTAATTTCTGCAAATTAGTAGAAACCTCAACAGCAGGGAAGAAATGATCAGGTGCAGATCTCTATCGTATCCCCAAGCTCAGGCTGTTAGGGGTGTATGGGAATCATTCCCATCTGATAGCAATTTAGGCACCATTACAAATGCATTGTTTCTGTTAAGGTCCTTGAGAATGGATGGCTGCATCACAAAAAACAGCTTTACATTTTGGATTATATGGATTGATGATGATAACCCCAACAGACGAGTAAGAGGAGAATTGTGATGGGAGCTTAGTAAGCCTCAGCTTTGGAACTGATCCATAGGTTGTGAGAAGGGTGGGACAAGTTTGAAGTGGTCTTGAGATTTCTGTGTAATGAGCATTCAACTTCTTATCAATGTTTAGTTTTATTTAAAAATGAAGGCTGTGAAAGTTAGTTGCTTTAGAAGGTCTCCAGTGTTTAGAAACGTGCCCTGCCTTTCCTCTTATCTTTGGAAATTCTTGTTTATCCAGCATAAAAAAATTCATGGACAGATTCTGCCTTCAAGATCTGTAAGCCCGATCAGTGCTTTAAAACCCCTGGAAGCAACGGCTTTGTTTATCTCCAGAAGTCCAAGAATAAGCTGATTTTGCTATTTTTAATCTATCCGGAAATATGCAAAGAAGAGAGCTTAATTGCAAACAGACCAAACCTTATATAGGAAATGGGTACATCCCTCAGGGGCACCTAAAAAGTGAATGTCTGAAATTAAACTCATATACTCTTCTCCCTTACTCCCTGAAGCACGTACTCTTGGGATGAAAGGGAAGGCTGTGGGCTAGCATCATATCCCAGTAGTTTCTATCCATTACAGCACTCTGGCTATCTTAATATTCAATTAACAGATGTTTCCCAGCATGTATGAGCGCAAGGTGACTAGTTGTGTGTGTTTGTGATGAAACCATTAAAGAGAACAGAGAGAAATTAGAAAAATAATGGCTCCATTGCTAGGACCTTAATTTGGTTACCAGAGAAAAACGAAGCAGGAGTACTGTGAGTCTGAAATTTCACCCACACTTTTCTCAAGAGAGCACTACCACACCCAGCCAACAAACAGTGGTGAAGCCTTGCACCATGAAAGCCATTCCCATCACCTGCCCAGTGATTCTTAAATCCGGGTTGTCTTTTTCTCAACTTCCACATATTGCAGTCTGTAATGGGTAACATGTAAGGTCCTAAGGTGAACCAGATACATTTAGCTTAACTAAAAATTTCCCTGCCCATGGAGAAAAGGAATGACATTGCTTTTGTATAGGCACAGTAGCAGATTCTGACTGCCAGTGCCATTTTAGTGTTAGCTCTTCCACTAGTTATTGCATGACCAGTAGGCTCATCAGACATTACTCCCTCTGCATGTGTCATACTCTGCAGCATGGAGCTTGGACAGAGCATTGGCCCACAACTGTGTGTTACTGCACATTTGGAAACAAGCCTATCCCAGAGTTCCTCAGACACCTGCTCTGATGCACATCTATCAGTCAGGCATGTTTTGCTGAATTCCAGCAAATGGCAATGGCATGACTGGGCTCTCTCAGTTACCCCACAGTCTTGCAACTGCAGCCCTTACCCCACTTCATAAAATCATAGAACGGTTTGGGTTGGAAGGGATCTTAAAGACTATCTAGTCCAGCCCCCTGCCATTGACCGGGACACCTCACACTAGACCAGGTTTTTCCAAGCCCTGTCCAACCTGACCTTGAGCACTGCCAGGGATGGGGCATCCACAGCTTCTCTGGACAACCTGTGCCAGTGCCTCACCACCCTCACGGCAAAGAATTTTTTCCTAATGTCTATTCTAAATCTCCCCTATGTCATCTTAAAGCCATTCCCCCTTGTCCTGTCACTACATGCCCTTGTAAGAAGTCCCTTTATAGGTTTCCTGTAGGCCCCATTTACATATCAGAAGACTGTTACAAGGTCTCCATGCAGCCTTCTCTTCTCCAGGCTGAACAATCCCAACTCTCTCAGCCTGCCTCAATAGGAAAGGTGCTCCAGTCCTCTGATCATGGTCATGGCCCTCTGGGCTCACTCAAATAGGTCTGCATCCCTCTTGTGTTAGGGGCCCCAGAGCTCGGTAACTTTCACGCCTAGTCTCTGGCCATCTGTGGAGCGCACCAAACAGTTCCTGTGTGGTGCCTACTTGCCTTCAGTCCAGAAAACCTGTTGCGCCACGTGCTCTCAGTAGCATCTGCTGTGCTGTCTGGGCCACATTCTCTTGAATCTGTAACCTAGCCTCCATGTTCTGTGGCCTAATAGCCAAAACCGTCTGGGTAACATCCTACATGCTGAGTGACCTGCCGGCAAGAGTGCACACAGGGGACCAAAGAGCTGTAGATTTATTGCTTGTAAACCAAAAAGTATATTAAAAAAAGAAGAGATAAAAATAGATGGGGAGCTTGGGGACCAGAAAGGCAGCCAGTGGAGATTAGATGCACTGCTGGTTGACTCATCCAGCTTTTCTATTGTAGCACAGTTCCAATAACGGCTGTATTATTTCAGCTTTTGTGCAGTGAGCAGACATTTGTTTCACATCGAAGCTTTTTCACATGAATGTGCTCCATTTTTCATTTCTTCTTGCCCTTCCCAACATTTCTGCTGGCAATTGTGAATGGTGGAGGTGGTGACTCCAAAAGAGTATTAGCCAACTTCTCAGCTGGTATAAATCAGCAACACCCCCTGGTATTTACTAGAGCTGCGCAGCTTTATAGCAGTTGAATCTGCACTAACTGTTCTTTTAAAACATGTCCCACCCTATAAAGAGCTGTGTTTTCTTCACTGGTGGATTCTGAAATTAATGGGAAGTAGTGAACTGACTGCCTCATAGAGCATGTGCAGCACACGTCTTGGCAGGATGTTTCCTAAGGTTCTGTTCATCCTGTTAAATCCACTTCTGTTCATTCTGAGGGATTTTTTTGTGGCAGCCTGTTGCGTCCTGTGTGCTGGACCTGGGCTATGATCTGCCGCCTTGCAGAAGGCCTGCACACGGGCCACCCACTGCCTGCTAGCTCAGTGTGTCACCATGCTTTTAGCTCCCTTCTCACTGCAATTAGTTAAAACCCTCCTGGGCCTGCATGAAAGTGGCTATGAGGAATAGTTCCTCATATGAAAATACGTGGAATGTGTGTCAGGCTTTGTTAGCTGTTCACAGCTTGCTTTGTGGTTTGGAAAGTGCTACCCTGCCAACTTGAGCTCCATTCAGAGGCAGAGGAGTTTTGTAGAAACGGGCTTAGAAATAACCACGGGGAAGGAGGAGAAGTATTTACCTGAAATGAGATGAGATCAGGTGGATCTACATGTGCAGTGGAGGCTGTGCATTTTTTACAGGATAGTGGTGTTTTGTGGCTCCTACAATGAGTGTAGACTGAAGGAACACTTCGTGTTCTGTGCAGCTTCTCAGAAAAGACCATTTAAAGGTGATTTCATGAGGCAGAACCTGGTGACCAGGTGGGTCACTTCCCACCCATGTTCTTATCATCAGCCTTTGAGCAAGCCAACCTCTGCAGTGTTGACAAGTGGTGACTAGGTACCTGTATATTTTCACTGGGATTTTGCTGTGGTTTTAGTTGAGATGTTTATTTGCATGTTGCCTTCATTGGTTTCTCTACACGTATTACACGGAGTAAGTACTATGGACTGTGTAGCTGTGCTCACCAGAAAAAATGCCTTTCTCTCTTCCATTTTTTTCTTAGCAGCATGGAAGTGGGAAGGAGAATCTGGCAAAATGTGACTTTGTTTCATCAGAATCTGCTCCCTGATAGTGAAAGCTGTATGATAAGAGGCGTTTTCATGGCCAGCTTCTGAGTAGTGTGTGTAGCTTGTAGCCCACCCCTACAAAAGACATACACAGATCCTTTAAAAAAACACAGTTAAAAGCCTGAATTTGATGTCCAGGCAGCTATATAACCAAAAAGAAGGTCTAAGTGAATCCGCAGTCAATTTCCACAAGCACATATGAATAAAGTGACTCTGTAAGAACGTGAGTTATCACCACCCATTTTCTACGACACAAAAAATATCACTTTTTTTTTTTTCACAAACTTTCTAAGCTCGTGAATTTCTGATGACAGTCACTTACAGGAATAAATGATGAGGTAACAGCAGCTTTGTGCAAGATTGAGATAAATTTGGGTCTGAAATAAATGAAGACCTCTGTAAGAGGTAGAGTTAGGAAATAAGTGTGTGGGAAAATTGGAGTGAGTGAGAAGGCAGCAGGGAAAAGGAAGCCACAGTACAAATTAAAGATTGCAAGTAACAGGGCTGGGTGCCAAGAGCCTCAGAAAAGAAAAGGAAAAAAAAATCCTTGATTAGCTAAACTGTTTGCTTTACTATATAAAAAAATGACCTCCTTGAGGAGCCTGGAGCCCTGGCCTCCTGGGAGTCTGAGTACGTGCAGGCGAGCTGCTGCCCTGCTGATGGCAACACAAATGCTCCAGCGCCAATCTTCTGCCCTGTGGATTTCCAGGTGCAAATGCTTCATCTGGCAGGAGCTCTGCCTGCATCAACCTTAAGATTTTATCCAGCCTGGCGATAATTTCCTTCTTCTCCAAACCACTGCAGTAATCTCAGTTCTACTAGCTACCTGAGAGCTAGTGTGTTGAAGGGAACCGCTGTCTCTCCAAGCAGCTATAATGTGTAGGCTAAGCATGACTTTCAAGTGGACAGATGAAGGACAGAGCGTGTGACAAGCCCACACCTCCAGCAAAGCTCAGACTCCAGTTTTGGCTGCAGCAGCCAGTGAGGCTCCCCAGCTTCCCACAGACCTCCTAGATGCAGAGCACTGTATGATGATGTACCTTGCCCTCATTGTGAGTCCTTGCTCCTCAAGGAGTATCCCAGTCCTCCTGCCTCAAGGTCACAATGCCATCACCAAACTGAATCATTGCTGCAGAGTGGGAAATGAATGACCTTGGGCACCTAACGCTTGCGTGGGTGTGCTTTTCATGCCTGCTGATACTTTATGAATGTGAGTGTTCTGTACTATACATAGTGGGAAAGGGGAGCTGTCACAGACAGAGCTGATCTGAGAACAGGGACAGGGAGAGTTACATATGAAAACTTCGGTGGGCAATTCCCTTCACTTTTATTTGCAAAGTTGTTACTTGTTTGCAAAGTTGTTACTTGCTGTGTAAATGTTCTTCTTTCTCCACTCTGTAACTGCAAAAAGCCCTAAGGGAGGTTAGCTCATGAAACTACCATGTACAATTTAGTTAATTAATATAAAAACTGCAAGAGAAGAGCTCTCTTTTAACAGCAGAGGATGGAAGAATTGCAGGGCTTCTTTGGAACGGAACAAGGTCAAAACAACCAAGGCAGCCAGGAGCCTGAATGCAAGGCAACCATCATGCAACAGAACACAGAGCCTAGTGAGCAAAGTACACCCAGAATCCAAAATCACAGTAATGACATGAGATTACTGGTAGCCATTTGTTAACGAGACAGAGAGAAATGGAACATGAGCAGTCTCTGAGTATGGGCAGGCTGCACACACAAGAACTATTTCCATCACAAGTTTTTTATTCTGCTGGCTTTATTGAATGTGGTGAACTGCTGTTCCAGCACAGAGCAAGGACATTTGGAATTGCAGTGTGACTGGCATAGCAAAACCAGGAAAACAATATGAAATGAGAGTCTGTCACATGAGTGAATTAAGCAGATTCTGTATGGTGTTTTCATCCCAAAGTGCTTGAGAGGCTTCTTTATAAATGGATTCCTTCTCTGTGGCTCAGATGCAGCCACCTTTGGGCTGAAATGCATTGTGCATCCAGTGCTTAGGCTGCTTTTGAAAGATATGCTTTATTATGCATCTGTTCTCATCCAGCTGTTCATAATAAAATGAGAATTGTGCAGCACCTCATTCAGATTCTCATACTGGAAAGGGCAGTTCTTAATGCCAAACGTCCTAAAGTCACTGAGCTTTCCAAGACAAAATTCAGGGAGGTTGTGCTAATATGCAATTGCAAATGATCAGAACCAGCATCACATAAACTGTGCTCAATGAATCCTGAGAATGGGGCAGTGTTGCTTATATCTCTGGAACATCACAACCACATTTGCTGGGGTGGCAGGTCATGTTATTCTGAGGTTTCCGTGTCTTGACTCTGTTTCATTAGTCTTCTTCAAGACCCCCATAATTCTGATGACACCCTTGAAGATGGCAGGGAGTTGAAAGACTGCAAGAATTAAAATTATTCTATTTCATTTTTTTTGTCAAGCAAATTTCAGTAGTTCACTTACTTCATTTGTGGGTTCCACCTTGAAATAACAGGTGTAAAAACAGATCACATCCCAGTTTCACAGTTTTTCTGAGTAGCAACCAATCTGTTTTGGCATTATTTCCTAACAACTTGTTGATTAGAATGGTAGAGCTAAATCTTATTTTACTGAAGACATCTTACACTTATTCCTGCTGCACTGTCAGACCTTGTTTACCTTAGCAGGTACTGGATGTGTAGTAATGATAAGCTTGATATACCCTGTCACCTGTTCAGCTGTACTACCTCAAGTAAACTTACCTCAGAGAAGCAGAAATAACAAGAAAGTTTATATCATTTTTCCTAGCCAGGATATACTATTCATACTTCCCCTGAAGTCAGCAACAAGAATATTCTCAGTGATAGGCTCATAGACTTTCCCCTGGGTCTTATCCCATGATAAGCAAAATTTTTAAGCAAATCATCACATACAAAATCTAGCTCTGGACTTCGCATCATTGCTTTTTCATCAGAAGCTCTAGGGATTAAGTTTGAACCCATCAAATCCCTCCCAGTCTTCAAATCCTAAATTCATAACTGACCAAAAAATCCCAAACCGTGGTGTTCATGAGGTGAGGGGGCTTTGCCAGGCCATTTTGGCTATTGCAGTAAGTGGGTTATGGTCAGTTTTCTAATGCAGGCTTCTCATTACAGGAAAGGGAAAAAAAAAAAAGAACAAACAAAAAGGTAGGGAACTTTCTGCATTCATGGACAAACACCAAATCCTTCCTCTCTAACTGAATGCACTGACACGCAGCTTTCATCAGCATTCATTGCACAGAATTTACTGAACTCCAGTTTTGACTGTATAGCTGCAAGATGATTCTGGGAACAGCTCTGTCTCATGTGTAGTGTTAAGATACAACAGGGGCACATCCTCTTTAAGAACCTTCTTCAGTCTCTGGAATTGTTAAATTTTGTAGTCAAAGTCTGCTGCCTGTCTTTTTATAGCAGTGCCCTGGGGCTGGCAGGTCATGCAGCCAGGTAATATGCGCACAGAGCTCCCATTCCACTGAGTTCTTCTGCCCACCACTTCAGCACCAGTCCAGCTCCTTTGTGATCTTTGCTATGGCAATGTGTCTCCCCAGCACTCTATAGCTGTTGTGAGAAGTTAAAGTTTTTGTCTAGCCCAGCTTAGGGTTTGTTTTTTTTTTTTCAGGACAGTTCGGAAGCCTTTTACTATGTTATTCTGTTATTATTTTTTTTTTCTGCTGATCTAACATCATCTGATCTGTGTAAATGCTGAAAACTTGGTACATCATCAGACATCTGCTGTATTTTTGGAGAAACGTCTCAAGTTTGGTGAAGCAATCCAAATCACCAGAAATTGTGATTCTCAATTTGCACAAAATGCGTGCTCTGTTTTCTAAGGGTTTCTGCCAGACCCTGCTGACACATGAAGCATAAGAAAATATTTGGCATCAGCCACTTCCCCAGAGATTTTTCCTCTTGTAGGTAGTGGAAAATGATCCCTCCATACACATGTATTCAATTCTTTTAGGTCTACTCATAAGCAAAGGTTTCATCTCTTTTTTTAGCATACCCATTCTGATGGTTACTCTGTGCAATTTATGGTAATGAATATATTCACCTCCTTTTTTAGCCTCTGCTACAGGGCACAGGGAACCATGCCAACACTGTAGATGTCGAGCAGCTCTCAAACCCTTTTTCAGTGGCTTGACCCCCCAGCCTTCCAAAGAGAAGGGCCTGGCTGCAGAATGGCTCCCCACTTCTCTTAGATTATGATTTTCGAGGTTATTGTTTACCTGTCTGGCTGAGTTCGTAAGCCCCTTGCAGGAATAAACCCACCACTATTAGTCCTGAGTTTTACCTGTTTCCCCTGGCTGGTGATGGCACAGCTGCTGACAGCACCCATGCTCCTGCACCAGTCTCTGCCTTCGGGCCAGTAAATGTCATGTTTGCTTTATAGAGGACATAGTCTTGAGGGCCCTTCACATCTCAGACACCTCCATCAGCCCGCTATGCCCCTCCTCAGGGCTCAGTACCACTGTCCTTCAGGGTATGTATCTCCTGTTGACACCTTCCAAAGGATGGCAAGACCCTGCTTGTTTAGGGACTCTATCCAAGCATATGCCCAACCCCCCTTTTCCGAGAGGGGACTCAAGGTTTCATTGCACTGAATTGTAAAGACAAGGACCTGCCATGAATCTTGGTTTCTGTTCTCTTCCAGTTCAGGGGAGGTTCAAGTTCTGGCCTATCTGCTGTTACCTAGGAAGCTCAACAAAGCAGACTTACAAAGCAGGCAAATGCAAACAACATTTAAAGCTCCATGGCCCCTTACTAATGTGACTATGCTGTGTCAAATCTCAATAGCTCACACTTAACAGCCATGTCATTATGGAGTATGGGCACACAACTGCTGTTAAAAAAACAGACAGCAAGGAAAAATAATAAAAAAAGACAAAATGCAAGAGGCTTAGGAGGCCCCTGGATTTCCTTAATGGAATTAGTCCTTCCTTTATGAATTCCAGGGCTAGATGCTGTAAATGTGATTCGCATACTCCCTCCCCTCACCAAAGCAGAAAGATCTGCTAGACACATGTTCGGAGCAGAGTGGGGGAAGGTATGACGTGACTCAAGGGCCTGGAAGGCTAAAAGGAATAGATGGGGGGGAGCTCTGCAGCCCTTGATCTTTGTAAGATTTACTGCCTTTGCTTCTTGCAAAGATTTTTTTTTTTTTCCTGGAAAATTGCTAGCTTCTAGCAATTTAAAAAAAAAATAAAATTGGCTGGGGCAGTAAACAAGATCTTTGAAGGGGGAAGGAAGCCAAGAGAAAGTCAGGTCCATTAGTCACGCAGCTGCATTTCCTGTCACAAAGGACCCCAGTTGAGTAATCACTCAAAATATTCTTGTTATTTTTTCCTATTTTATTTCAACTTTCAGGCTGCCAATATCTACTGTAAGGAAAAATTAAAACAAGAAAAAAAAATCTTTTAGCCTCAGAGGGGGAAGCAATGTAGAATCAGACATTGATTTACATTATTTTTCCTTTTCTTTAATTTTCATAGCCTAGAAACACTTCAGTAATGTGAGAGGAATGTTGGTAGTGCAGAGTGGGTCTGAGACACTGCCGGTGTTTTCAGGGCATATAATTTCAGCAGGAGTGTGGGTGTCAAAGTTTCTAGGCTACACTTCCTGATGCTACCATTAATTCACTGCACAACCTTGATGGAGTCATGTATTAATTTATCTGCAATTTATTATAAAAAGTAAAGATGGTAATAGCTTCTGCATAATTGTTTTGTCAGGGTTCATTAATGGTGATTATAAATAATGGTTGGTCTTCTGATGAAAGCTTTGTAGAAGTATTTGTCTAAAGGAAAATACAGTGAAGACTGGAAAAAATACTGGTAATTTAAAGCAGAACTTTTTATTAATAGATTTTAAAAGAACTTGTATATAAAGAGGTGAAAATAGGAGAAAGACTATGAAGTATAAGAAGGAAAATCTTAGTGATACTCTCTCGTGAGACACTCAGCTGAATAAAAATACAGCAAACCTGTCATAGGGAAGAATCCCTGTTGTAATGTTGGAAGAGACCACGTGAGTGATTGACTGTACCACCTCCCTGCTTCTAGATCTTGGATTGTAAGATGCTGGCTCTGGTCAGTCTGGTACCAACTTCAAAAGGAAGCCACAGATACATGATAAAAGTAAAGCTGAAAAACCTCTGTTTTTGCAGATTGCTGCAAAAAAAAAAAAACCTCTTTCATCAACAAACACAACTCCAAAATACAACCCCCCACCTTTTATTTACGCAAAGTAATGAGTGTGGTGACCAGGCCACCTATAAAGAGTGGCCTTAAGCATGCTTCAGGGCACATAACAGTTTGTAACTTACGTTCCTGACTGGGGTACCTGACTATATGGCTCTGTGAAAATGATTGCAAAGGGATTGCAAATCCCTGATTGAATCGCTGCTTAAGTAGAGAGTAGATGATTGTTGTTTATGCTATATAATAATATGACTTCAAATATTGCACAAAAAATGAAGCTTACATTTGCATGGTAATGTCATATAATAAAAATGTCATATAATAGAAGCTGGTAATGTCATATAATTCTGTAATTTGCACACACTTGATATCACAGATGTGCAATGTTTTCAAACAACAGCTTATGAGCAGATGTGATTTACACAGCAATGTAAATCACAGCTTCCTAAAGCTAGTTAAAAGGTGTAAACTCAAACAACATGAGATTTACCCTAATTTGTTTTAAGAGAGACTTTGAAAAGCTGTTTACATGTATTTTTTTTTAAGTAATGCAGAATGATTGTTTATGCATATTTACATTGAGTGAAAAGTAAGAATCTTGTGAGTCATGACTCAAGTATGAAAAATTCTGCTCCAGATTATCTTTATAAATTATGTTCATCCTTTGTCTTTCCAAATGTCAGGTGAGGCCAGGTGTGCTCCTCAAGAGGCACACAAGTGTACGCTCCCTGGTTTGTGGTCAGAGCTAGCACTAGGTCAGAGGGACTGTCTGCTACTCTCACACCAGATGACTTTCGCTTCTATGTGTCCTAGTCTACTGGATCTCCACATCATATGGCATTTTGTGCAACAGCAATAGTCATGATGTGAGATTATAAAGGCTATTTCTAATGATTATTGATATCTGCATACTTTTAAATTCATATACTGGTATGTATGAATGAATAGAAATTATTTGTTTACAAGAACAACATAAACTTTGCACATTTCGTTTTATGAGTACCACAGTATATGATAATATTTCCTATACTAGTGTTGTAGGGCTGTATTAATATAAATTGCACTAGTATCTAATACATCAGGCTGTGTAATAAATAATAACCACTGAAAGAATTAATTATACCTGACAAGTGTTTGTGTAGCAATTGGTATTTCT